CGTCGATATCAAGAGTGATAGAGAGCACTCAGAATGGGAAGAGTGCCACACGGCCGGGAGTCTGTCACATTCCTTTATTAATGGAGGCACAGGGCGGACAGCTGTTTTGGAATCAGTGCATGATTTGAAATAGGGATGCAGCCCAAATTCTTCTCAAAAGTTTGGCTTTGTCCTACCTAGTCCATTTGCCTCAGTGGACAGAAAGTCGGCCTGTGGACTGAGGGTCCAGGTTCGATTCCAGTCAAGGGCACTTATCTCAGTTGCAGGCTGGAACAGGGTCTGGTCAGGGCATTGCAGGAGGCAAACCATTGATGTGTCTCTCTTACATCGATATTTCTTTCTGTCTCTCCACCCCCTCCCACTCTCTCTAAAAAAAAAAAAAGAATCAATGGAAAAACACCTTCAGGTGAGGATTAACAAAAACAAAAACAAAAAAGAAAAAAAAAGAAAGAAAGGAGAGAGAGAGAGAGAGAGAGAGGGTTTGGCTTTGGAATCAGACAGGTTTTCCACCATTGCCAGTTTTTAGCTTTGTGGTCGTGGGCAATGAGTTGAATGTCTCTGAACACTGTAACTTAAAGACGTTGATGGTCTGAAACTCAGGGTTGTGATGAAGAGGAACTGAGCTAATCTAGGCTCAGTTTCATTCACACAGTGCTCACTGCTTCGTTGTTACTGTCAGTATCGCTATTATTTCCTATTCCTAGTGCCCCCACTTCCAGAAAGTCTGAGCTGACCACTGCCTCCCCACAGACCAGAAGAAACCTCCGTGTCGTGTCGAGCTCTCACCGCCCTTCCTCTATGGTTTCCTGTGTCATTTCAGCACTTCTGCTTCCGCTCCTGTTCTGCTCTTTCAGACTCCCAGCACCCACAGGGCCACACAGCTGCATCTTTTTTATTTTTTATTTTATTGATTTTTTACAGAGAGGAAGGGAGAGGGATAGAGAGCTAGAAACATTGATGAGGGAGAAACAATGACCAGCTGCCTCCTGCACACCTCCTACTGGGGATGTGCCCGCAACTAAGTACATGCCCTTGACCGGAATTGAACCTGGGACCTTTCAGTCTGCAGGCCAACGCTCTATCCAGTGAGCCAAACGGGTTTCGGCTGCATCTTGGTATCTTAATAAGAAGCACTGCTAGCACCTCTCTGGGGCTTTACCGTTTCCCAAGCATTTCTGTCTCTGTGTTTTCACTCTGAACTGAAATGCAGTCCTACAAGGTGTGAGGGTTATCATTCCCACTTCCAAGATGGAGAAGCTGAGGCCTGGAAGGAGTAGTGACATGGCCAAAGTCAGGCAACCGGTCAGTGGACTAGACTTTAAGTGTTTTTGGATTTCCAGCACAGAGAACAGTGCTGGCCAGAACCTCACACAGCCCACACGGTGAGCATTCTTATTGCCCACACTCTACAAACCAAGAAATCGAGGCTTGGGGGGATGCTGGGTCTTGTCACCCAGGCTGATTTTGCTGGATTAAAAAAAAAAAAAATATATATATATATATATATATATATAATATATATATATATATATATATGTTTTTATTGATTTCAGAGGGAGGAAGGAAGAGGGAGAGACAGATAGAAACATCAATGAGAAACATCGATCAGCTGCCTTCTGCATGCCCCTTCCTGGGAATAGAACCTGCAACCCAGGCATGTGCCCTGATCAGGAATCGAACCGGTGACCTCTTGGTTCATGGGATGATGCTCAACCAGATGGATATGGTTTTGACTGTAGGGTTCACCCCTGGGACCTCCTTCTGCACCTTTATCCAGTGATTCTTCTCACTCAGCACGTCCTCTTTCCCTGCCAGCAATCTCCCCTACTGACTCCTCCCCCAGCTCTAGAGATACCCCGGCCACACAGTGACCTTCTGTTCTGAAGCAGAGCACTCAAGCCAGCCCCTCACTCCGCCTCAGGATGCATCTGGGCCAGCCTCCTGTCCTGGGAAGGGCAGGTGAGTGTCTGCTCTGGCTCTGTGCCCTGGGACTGCTCTGGGCTTGGCTCTCCTGCACCCTCCTCTGCCAGGCTGTTTGCATGCTGTGGACTGAGCAGAACCGGGTTTGAATCCCAGCACTTGCAGTGTGCTGCCTCTGACTTCATCGGCAAAATGAGAACAGAGCCGCTGACCTCAGGGGCTCCTCCTGAGAATGCAGAGAGGGAAGGGGGAGAGGGCGATGTGCTTCAAAGCTGGTGCAGGGCAGACGTGAGGCAATGCTCTCCGATCTTACACGTGGGCGGTGGTCCTCCCGCCTCCGGAGACCCTCCCTCACGCCAGCCCGGCTCAGTCTCATGTCCTCCAACTCACTTTCTGGGCTGTCGTTAGCTCATCACAGCTTTATCTGCGCCCAGTTCTCTTCCCAAAGCTTGCATCTTATCCCGGTGACTCCACCAGTGGGGAAAGGATTGGGCTCTGCATGCAGCTGGGTGACAGGACCCAGCACCCCCTCAAGCCGCAAGCTCTTGGTCTGTGAAGTGTGGGCAGTAAGAATGCTCACCTTGTGGGGCTGTGTGAGGTTCTAGGCCAGCGCTGTTCTCGGGGGCAGCATCTAGCCGCATGTGGCTATTTAAGTGTACCACTTAAAGCTGTATCGGGTCCGACAACTTCAGATCCTTGGTCACTGGCCACGTTTCAGCGCTCACATGTGGCAGCATCTCTAGAGAACATGTCCCCCGTCGCAGGGCGTGCAGCCGGCAGTGCTGGTTAGACAACCCATGTAAGGTGCTCAAGCCTGCACTGAGCTCCCAGCATGTGTTCTCCCTGAAGCTGCAAACTGTTTGAGGCCAGGAGCCTGATTCCACGTGAAGCTCTGCTCTCCTGGGAGCTGGGAAGGCCCAGCAAAGAGCTGTGGCTTTCAGGGAGTGTTGGGCTGGTTGAGGGCCTCTCTGGGACCAGGGGCCTGGTTCCTGCCACAAGGAGGCATAGAAAGTTCACTCACCCTCCGTGGAGCAGGGACACGGCAGAGGGAGGACATGGAGTCCTGTGAGGGCAGCCAACTGTTGGGAGGAGCCCCAGCATCTTTACAAAGGGGGACTTTACGAAGGAAGAGTGGCCCTGTGGGTTTGCAAACGTGCTGGTTTCTCTCTCTCTTCTCCCTCCCCACTCCTGGCCTCCCCTCTCTCCTCCCTCTTATATTTTTGCCGGAGAAGGGACGTCCAGTCTAGATCCCAGCTTGTGAGACGGAAGAGATGCCTCGGCCATCTGGCCCCTTCATAGGAGGAGCATGCAGCGACCTGCCCAGTCGCCTAGAGAGTGAGGGCAGAGTGATGGTTCTGGATACAGGCTCCCTGGCACCAGAGTCTGGCACAGTGCTGATATCGCCTAGCAACAGGGATGTCGCTGTCAGCCAATCTAGCAACCCTGATCCACCCCAGGCTCTGCTCTGAGGGGGTCTATGCAGCGCCACCCTGACTGGAGCAGGTTAGTCAGCTGGCACGTCCTGAGAGCCTCCTCAGGGCCTGCCATTTCCCAGCTTTGTCTCCTTCTGGGCCAAGCACCATGCTGGGCACATGGCTGGTGCCTCGAGGGCACGGGTTTAATCAAAGGGAAGAGGCAGTTCCTGTTGTTCCTTTGAGAGTGTGAGGCCGTGTGAAGGGGCAAGGCTGCACCGGGGGCGTCTAATAGCCCCTCACCTCGGGGTTTGGGGAGCTCAGAGGCCCCACCTTTTCAGGGCCACGGCCCCTCTGGCAGCCTAAGGAAGCCTAGCATCCCTTCCCGGAATAACTATTGTTAACGGAAAAACCAATGAAACCTGTAAAGAATTTCAGTGAGTTTATTTGAGTTTGTATGTCGACCTATGCCAGGAATCAGAACCTCAATAAATTGAGATAATGTTCCGGAGAATGGCGGGTTACATTTCTACTTATACATTGCAATCAAAGGAGGGACATAGGTGGGTTACATGAAGTTCATTGGTGATGGAGTAAGGAGGAGGAAGAAAGCAAAGCAGTGGGAAACCCCTGGGATTGGATAAAAAGTAAAATGACGGACACATACTGAGGTGGGTACAGGAACAATTAACATGATAATGAAGGAATTTGAGGTATCCGTCCTGGCGCCCACCACATTTCCGGTTGTGCCCCAGGGGCTCCAGAAAAAGGGAAGTTACAAGTTACCGTAACCAGACGTCTCACAGATATGTTATCTTAGAGGCAGATAGGCCAATGGGTTCGATAAAGATCTAAGTTGATCTTTGTCAGGGAAAATATTGGCCTAGGACATGACTACCTACTATAACCTGTTTGTAGTTAAATATTTAATTTTCAAACCATCATTTGTGATTATTTTAGGTCTCTGAGTTTGCAAGACTGCCACGCAGGCCTCCCCTGAGCTTGTCAGTTGGCATGTGGCTTCTTTCCCTCACACCATTGAGGATGTTTTATTGAAGTACAATACAACACACACACATTAAAGTGCACACATTTAAAGTATACACCAGAGAATTTTCACAAAGTGAACACTTTTGACCCCTGCACCCAGCTCAAGAAACCAGCGTGACTAGCGCTCCAAGTAGCCACCTCCCCCCTTTCAAGCACCACCTCCCAAGAAATCTCTGTCCCACTGTTTACTGGAAGGTCAGCGCGGGCGTTAGCTTAGGATGCCCAGGTCTGTGTGTGAGGTGGGTGGTGAAATGTGTGAGGAGTTGCAGGACGTGCATGGGTGTGGGGTCTGAGTGCATGGTTTGGGGTATGAATTTGCAGGGTATGTGTGGCGCTTGGGATAGTCGGAACGCGTGAGTGGGGGTTGAGGGAGTTGTTGAGGGGATTCTGGCCAAGGTTCAGGGGAGCTGTGACCACCAGGAAATCTGCGCCTGGTGATGGGAACGTGGGGGATGGAGGCTGCAGGGGCGGGGCCTAGGGGCGTGGGGCGGGGCCTTGGAGGCGGAGGGCGGGGCCGGCGCGCGGGGGCGGGGCCGGGCGACGGAGGGCGGGGCCGGCGCGCGCGCACACGCAGCCGGCGCGCCCCCTCCCGGCCGCCATGTTGGCTGGTGAGTGGGTGTCAAACGGAGCTGGACGTGCTGGCGGCGCCGGCGGCGGCTCCGCGGGCTCCGGTCGCTCCCGCCTCCACAGCGCTACTGGCGGTCGCGGCCGCGAACCGGGGCCGGCCCGAAGGAGCGGAGGTGAGCCGGGTTCGGGACCGGGGTGGGCCCCGGAGCGCGGAGCGTCCCCCTCCCCCAGGGGGCGGACGCCCCCAGGACACCGGCGTCCCTGAAGTCAGCCCCCACGCGTGCAGCCCCGCCGCCCCGAGGGTCTACCCCTCCGGCGGGACCCCTTTCCTTCCACCGGGACCCGCCCCACAGGCTGGAGCGTGGCCCCCGCCCTGTCTCCCCGCTGCCAGGACCCGCTCCCCACCCGCGCGCACACGCTCCGTTTGCCATCGGCGCTCACGGTTCTCGTCCCGGGAGGCCGGACCCCCTCGCCCGCGCCTCGGCCTCAGCCGGAGGGACCGCGCCCGCTCTCCGGCGCACTTTCCGCTCCGGGCGGGCGCCCCTTTTCTGCGGAGCCGGGTCAGGCTCCCTCCCGCCCCCTGGTGGAGCTCGGGCCCAGCCCTCCTGGAATCGGGAAGGCTTCTCTGGGTCCGGGATCCCGCCCGACCCCGCTCTTCTTCGGGCCGGAGCAGGGCCCCTGCCCCTCCCGAGGGACCAGGTTCCCCTCCCCACCCACCCCACCGCCTCCCCGCACAGCGGGGCCGGGGGCGGCAGCCGGCTCCAGCTGCCTTTTGTTCCGCGTGGGATGGCAGGGACCCCCTCCCGGCGCGGCTCCCCGGGTGGGGGAACGGGTGCGTGGGGCCCCGCGCTTCCAGCAGTCTGTGTGCAGAGGCCCTTCCCCTCTCCGCTTTGGGCGGCTCCCCGGGGGCGAGCGCGGCGGAGGAGCTGGTCCTTCCCGGAGGAGACCTTGCCCAAAGGTTTTGTCTGCGCCCCGGAGTTGGCCAAGTGGCTTTGGGGAAAGGGCAATTTGCTCTCCCCCAAACCCCAGCATTCCTCCGCCCAGGGGCTTCGTTTTGCAGTCTGTTTGGAGAGAAGATGGGGCTCCACCATCTGTGGGGTTCAGGTGAGGAAAACTGAGGCCAAGAGAAGCAGTGATTCGCTCAAGGTCACATAGCTATTCTGTGTCAGTGCCAAACTGGAAGCTAGAAATTAAAAAATAATAATAATTTTAATTGATTTTTAGGGGGGGGGCAGAGAGAAACATCTGCACACCAATCAGCTGCCTCCTGTATGCGCCCTACCGGGAGATCAAGCCCTGAGCCTGCAATCCAGGTGTCCAGGAATCTTACCCGCAGCCTTTTGGTGCACTGGATGGTGTCCAACCTACTGGGCAACACCGGCCAGATTATCTTCCTCCTCTTAACAGTTTAAAAATTAATCCTCATTTTCTCCATCGATTTTTAGAGAGAATGGGAAGGAGAGAGAGAGAGAGAGGAAGAGGGAGAGAGAGAGGGAGAAATACCACGTGAGAGACACATGGATTGGTTGCCTCCGCACGCCAGGGACCAGGGCAGATGGAACCTGTAACATGCCTTTGACTGGGAATTGAACCTGAGACCCTTTGGTCTGTTAGGCTATGCTCTAACCACAGAGCCAAACTGGCTAGGGCAGCCCTCCCGCCCCCCCCCCCCCCCTTTTTTTTTTTAAATATATTTTATTGATTTTGTACAGAGAGGAAGGGAAAGAGAGAGTCAGAAACATCGATGAGAGAGAGTCATCAATCAGCTGCCTCTTGCACACCCCCTACTGGGGATATGCTCGCAACCAAGGTACATGCCCTTGACCGGAATCGAACCCGGGACCTTTCAGTGCCCAAGCCGACGCTCTATCCATTGAGCCAAACCGGTCCCGTCCCCCCACTTATTTTTTACATTCACAGGAGAAAATGGCGAGAAGATGAGAAGTATGATTTTTTTATTTCCACCTCCAGAATATCCCTTGGAAAGAAGGGATTGGGCTGGGGGTTAGAATGGTTTTAAAAGGTGAATTTTAATACCCATGCCCTCCTTTCCCTCTGCAACTGTCACCTCAATTACATGTGCATCTTGTAGCTCTGGATGCCAGATGGTAGTGCTGACAAAATCGAATACTGACTGAATCCTGCACAGCACCCACTGAGTTGGAACTGATAATTAAGTTTTCATTGTATTTAAAAATTGAAAAGGACTATCATTTATTTCTGAATAGTACTTGTTCTAGTGTTTGTGTTTGAAACAAGTGATTGTGTTGGAGAAACCACCAAAATCCTCTCATCATTTACTTATTTGTATTTTTACATTTATTATAGAAGCTAATTTTTTCTCTAGTTGTAATATTAGGCTCGTCATCCTTCCCAGTCTCGCTGGTCTAGTCTTTTGTGCGCATTGAATGTGATACGACTATTAAAGTGTTTGAGAAGTACAAACTACTGTGAGGCAGGATTCAGGATTGCATCCCACAAACGTCTGGACTAGCAGCAAGTTTGGGTTGTCCTGTGTTTACACTAGCTTTTTGCCTCTCTGGACCCTGAGCTTGGCAGATAGGGAGTTCTGTGGAGAATTCTCTCCCAGCAAGGTGTGTGCCAAGCACCTGTGTGAGGTGTGAAGAAATGTAAGCCTTTCAGGTAGAGGTACCAACCCAGCACAGTGACTGCAGTCTTGAAAAATGTCTTTCTACATTCTCTGTAGAAATACAGTTGCCTCTAAAGTCTTCCATAATAAGGCGTGGGTTTCCTGAGCGTTGAGATTCTCATCCTGCAAAAGTGTTTGAACTGTTTTGGGGACTGATTTGTTTTAATTGCTTGGCTTTTCCTAAATTTAAAGGGTAGATGGTAGCAGCTTCCTCTTCCTCTTCTTCATCTTCCCCTTCTCCTTCTGCTGCTTCTGCTTCTCCTCTTCCTCCTCCTCCTGCCCCTCCCTTCCTCCTTTCTTCTTCATTTCATTCAGAGGAGTCACACCTTTCAGTTCTTTGTGGACGAGGTGCTAAGAGATTGTCATGTTTGGGGATGTCATTGTTATACTGTTGGGAAGCACATTAAAGCTCTAGCTGGTTTGGCTAAGTGGATGGAGCATCGGCCTACAGACTGAGGGGTCCCACGTTTGATTTCTGTTGGGGGTGCATGCCGGGTTGTGAGCTTAATCCCCAGTGGTGGATGTGCAGGAAGTGGCCTATCAATGATTATCTCTCATTATTGAGGTTTCTGTCTCTCTATCCCTCTCCCTTCCTCTCTGAAATCAATAGTAATATATATATGTATTTATGGTGTGTGTGCACACACATGTATATATACATATATACGCATATATTCCTATATTCGATACATAGATGCATATATTCATATTTACATATACGTATATACACATATACACATATATAAAACCTATATATGTAAGTTTTCAGACATCTTTGGCAATTGCTCTTATTGTTCCCCAGAACCTTCCTGTTGAATTGGTGGAGTATGGATGAGCGTGGTAGTTACCATTTTATGGCATGAATACCTGGTGACTGAGCCTTGGAGAAATAAAAGGGCTTGGATTTGGGGAATTTGAGATCAGAGATGATAAAAAGAATCATCTAGTCCTGCTCCCTGTTTTCTGTTGGACATTCAACCCATGCCTTCAGTTTAAACGTCTGTCAAGCCTTTGCCAGCCAACTCCATCAGTGTTTGGGCCCCTCTAAGCCTGCTCTCTGCCTCACCACCCCACTCTGTTGGAGCACTTATCACAGTTTCTGTGGATCTGCGGCTCTAGTGACACTGAAATCTTTGAAACCAGTGATTGTCCTCTTTTTGCTTCTCCAGCACACGGCTCCGTTTCTGGCACATGCATGGTAGGTGCTCAGTAAAGGTCTGGGTATGAGTAAATAGTCCTGGCGACAGGGGAAATGACCTTTTATTGATTTTACTACAGACTCCACTGTTCTGTCTTGTTCTTGCAAAAACCATTACTGTTTGTCCAGCAGTCATATGTCAGTCAGGTGGGTATTATCCCCCTCTTGCAGATGTTGAAAATGAGACCCAGAGGCTCAAGGTCACACAACCAGTAAGTGATGGAGCTGGGATTTGAACAGATCTGTTGGATTCCAAAATTTACTATTACTAGAGGCCTGGTGCACAAAATTTGTGCACTTGGCGGGGGGAGAGGGTTCAGCCTGGCCTGCGCCCTCCCATAGTCTGGGAGCCTTGGGGGATGTCCCACTGAGGGCTTAGGCCTGCTTCCTGAGGCAGTCTGACATCGTTAGTGCCACCATGAGGCAGGGGAGGCTCCCACCACCACTGAATTCAGGATTGCATCCCACAAACGTCTGGACCAGCAGCAAGTTTGGATTGTCCTGTGGTTTACACCAGCTTTTTGCCTCTCTGGACCCTGAGTTTGGCAGATAGGGAGTTCTGTGGAGCATTCTCTCCCAGCAAGGTGTGTGCCAAGCACCTGTGTGAGGTGTGAAGAAGTGTAAACAGTGCTAGCCAGCTGCAAACCCGGCTTCTGGCTGAGCGTCTCTCCCCCTGTGGGCGAGCACTGACCACCAGGGGCCAACTCCTGCCTTGAGCGTCTGCCCCCTGGTGGTCAGTGAGCATCATAGTGACCAGTGGTTCTCCTGTTTGGTCAATTTTCATACTAGCCTTTTATTATATAGGATTATTATTATGTTTTTATTGATTTCAGAGATGGGAAGGGAGAGGGAGAGAGATAGAAACATCAGTGATGAGAGAGAATCATTAATCAGCTACCTCCTCAGTCCTCCTTTTGGGGATTGAGCCCAAAACCCGGGCATGTGCCCTGACCAGGAATCAAAACTTGGTTTCCTGGTTCATGGGTTGATGTTCAACCAGTGAGCTACACTGGCTGGGCCCAAAATATTATTATTCCTGTTATTTCATTTGAAAAGTCCAGTCTCACAAGAACAAAGAGACTTGCTTAAAGCCCTACTGCAAATGGATAATGGACTAAGGACTGTGAGATGATGTAATTAAGATTGGTAAGGGTGGGAGAAAGCACATTTTATTTTTGCAAAATGCATTGTTGGAGTGACTGTTCACAGCCATCTGTTAAGTTTCTGAAAATTGACAAACTTTCTGATAAGTTCGTCAGTGGAATTTTCTTTGGTCTTAATTAGCTTGTTCAAGTTGTCTAAAACTTGTAGAAACCGAGAAAACA